ATCGTAACACAACTCTCAAAAACGCAATCGCTCGACAAAGACTGTCTTTAAGACCCTAAGTCAAGACTTTCGAACACGTCCAGACGCATAGCGTCAGCTGCGTCCAGACTTAAGTTGAAACGTTGAGTCGGCTGCGTCACGACGTAATGGAAAACGATAGAGTATGCCCCGCCTGCTCCAATCAACTCCTGTTAATTTGAATAGAAAAAGCATTAAAACACCATTGTGCATACTTTCTATATAATTTGCTGGTCGGGTTGGCTGCGATTTAGGCCACGTATTAAATTTTCGGCACTCCATTATACTTTATGCTTACCGTGCGATGAAAGCTGCGTCCTCGTTGGCCCAGTCATACATATACATTTCGCTACCTACAACGAGGCTCACGCCGTAACCTACCATAGAGCTCATATATACTAACATTAAAGGAAAAGGTCCGCCATTTTCATATGCACTCTGGCTACCGCAAGCGGCGGAGCATAGAGCCAGACCTTCGGGGTCCCACACATTGTTACCAACTGCCTCCGATTTCACCAATATAATTATATGATCAGAGCAGTTTCATGAACTCCAACAATTCACCTGGAAAGATATTCGCGTTCCTTTCGGAGCTTTCTTTTTGCCTAGCGCGCAGGTGTGCGGCCTCACGTCAACGCAAAACTAAACCAGATAAGCGACTTCGTGCTATGGTTTTGAGAGGCGCGAGTGGGCGCGCCCCAGGAATACGAAACCGCGCAACCACCAGATTTTCGAGATTTTGACAGAAGGAAAGTTAAAGCAGCGTAATGAGGATATTGATTTTAGAAGTGTTACATTGGCTAAGAATTTAGTTTAAAATGTTAAATTATCAATGTTTAATTTGCTGAGAGCTCTCACTCTTCGATTACCATTGCCGCTGTCGGCCTGCAGCTGGCAACTTTGGTTTCTTTCTCTCGTGTTCTTTCGCTCTCTTTCGCGATCTTTCACTCGGGACTCCAGATGTCGGCGCGTAGGACATTAAGCAATGCAAAACGTCACGCTTGCATTGCTTAATGTCACAACTCAGACTGCGTCTTTTGGTTTAAACATATGTTTCGGCATCGTCATTCGCCGAGCTGCCTCCGTAAGTTGCCGTGATTGGCTCTCCGCCTGTTGTGCGGGAAAGCGGACGCACAGGCTTTTTTTAGAGTGTTATAATGAGCAAAAGCGTAGAAGTTGTACGGCAGCTACGTGATCATTGAGGAACTGTTCTAAAATGATAAAATAATTAATATATTTAGTGTTTTCATTCAAAGAATGTACAAAGTGCCGCCAAAAATAGCGATTTTCATGTCAGATGCAATGAATTAGCTCGAGCTTGGAATACGATTATTACTGTCAAGGCTCTGTCACGTGCTTGTTTAATTCAGTTTTTCTAGAGCTCGCTAAAACGCACCTGCGACGAAACGTGTTATTCCTTGGACCCAAAGAATTCTGACGAGTCCAGGCAGGATAAATTCCAAAGCTTCCTCAATCGCACACACGATTTCTCCACCGCCGCTCATGCCGAGGTACACGCCTTCCAGTGTCACCGGCGTTACATTCTTGACCCTATATTATGTCCAGGTGTCTGTCTTTGTCGCCACGAGCTTTTCCTTTGAATCTAACAAGACCAGTTTCGGAGAAGATGGTGCCGTTTAGTCCGAACAAAGCATCCAGGGAGTGTGGATCCGCAGTGAGTGCTTGCGACCAACGCTGAACACAATGACCGTGTCCTTACCACGGCAAGACGTCTTGTAAGATCTGTCTTGCTCGCCGTGGTCGAGGCCGTAGGGGTTACCCACTCCCACAAAAAAAAGAAAGCCTCCAATTCTGTTATTTTGCTGTCTGGGTAATCATCTGATTATTTGGAAGCCTTCGGATTAGCTTGTTTAGCTTGTCCTCGGGCTGACCTCTATCCGGGACATCGCAGTGTTCTGTGGGACAAAAAATACGGTCGTCCGACTGGGCCCCCTTTGCAAATACTATGCGCAGAAAAATACCTCAAGTCCTTTATAGTTTTTCTTTCAACCTCTTTTTTAGTGCATTTTATGGATAACGATAACTTCATAATGAGTACTAAGCAATATATACGTTTCGTCAGCTCCAGAAATTTATGAATGCGTTTGAATGGCCATATGGTGTTGCTTTTATGAATTTCTGTTTTCAAAAATCAGGGTACCCCTCCCCCCACCCCCCCCCCCCTCCCAACCGCTTCTCAAAACAAACAAATTTAGTTTTTTTTTTGTTTTTTTTTTGATTGATAAAATATGCTACGCAACGCCGAACGCTTCATTCTCCACTCAAATGAAGCGCTAGAGGTCGAAACCAGACGTCATCGTTTCAGAAATAACCATTATCAATTATAATAAATTAGTTAATTTACTGGAAGACGCCAGATCGCTAAACAAAATATATGGGCGACAAACTTTTGTTAGCCGGGCAAATAAAAATTCGAAAATTAGTTATATATGAATAATTTAAAAGTGTTAACAGCACACTAAAATCAACACGCGCCACCACGACCACATTTAAATACAGACATCATGTTATTGAACTTATTTACATTGAGCTGAACTTATAATGGCTCAGAAATATATAAGAACCGAATCGGGGCACCCGAATCATTGGTGACCATATCGACAAGTGCGAGGTCAGTTTCCAAAATGTTTATGCAAATAATATCCGAAGTAAAACAAACACGAAAAAAAACTTGAAGAAAATACTAAGGTATAAATATCCGAAAGTATTGGAAGAGGGACGTAAAAAACTGTCAGAAAAGAAAGAAAAATAACTTCATAGAGAATTAAAATCTCCAACCTCGGCTGAAAGCTGAAGCTCATTATTTTGCTTTTAATGTTTTGGCATCTTTACGCTATTGTTCTGCTCGCACCGCAGACGGCGCTACACGGCGCCGTTGAGAGAGGATTGTCTGTCAGCCCGCAGTGTAAGCAACAAAAGAAAAAAAAAAAAAAAAAAAACAATACCACGATATTTTTCGTTCTGCGAGTGTGTGAGTGCGTGTCTATGTGTGGCGAGGGTGTCACCGAGCACTAGGCCACTTGTGCGAGCTTTGAGGCTTTCAGAGAGGTTCCGTCGGTGCCGCAAAGTCTTGCAAGAGCAATTGTAATTGTGCCTAACAATTCGCAATTACGCTAGGAAGTAACTAAATTACAATTACAATACATTTTAGATGAAAGTAAATAATTGCAATTACCAAGAAGTAATTAAATTACAGTAATCAAATTGCTGTAATTGAATTACTACCCAACTATTGTGTCAACCAAGCATTTGCATTGGTCGATGTCCGTCACCTAGAAGCGGTGAAACGAACGTACGTAATACGTTCATTCGGGAGATAAGCGGACTCTGTCAGCATTTGCTTCCCTCCATTAAATCTGACTGCGCAGAGCCGCCATTTAGGAAGTCATCGATCGCACCGCAATGAGGAAGATTTAATGCAAAATATGGCAGCTTTGGAACCCTGGAAACATGCAGGGACTCTGTAATTATACATTTCACCTTGAGTCTGCACGCAGCATACGCCACGAGCTGATAGGACCAATCAAACATTGTCCAAAGCGCGAGTCACTGTAACTTCCCTGCACACAATTGTTTCAGCGGTGCAGGAGCACGTACGCTAACAGGACGAGCATCTGGTGGGTGCGTCTTTGACGCTATGTGATTGGTTCCTTCGGCTCGTATCGTCGGCTGCGTCCGGACTTTAGGTAAAACGAAGTATAATCGGCTCCTGTGCAATAAACTCGTAGCATTTCCAATCGAATAGCCTTAATACACTTTTGTGAATAGACTCGACTTAACACACTGTTTCCGTTAACTGGGGCTTGGAGCTATGGTCTCTGTACCCCTTTCACCTCTAGGCTGACAGTGCTGTGGAAGCTACGTTACCGCTGGACCAATCAGACATTTATCTTTGGCTGCGTGATCAGGCTCACACAGTCACTTACCTACACGAACGAAGCGAGATCCGGTGATGAAAATTATGTGGTTGATTTGTGCGGTGAGCGCATAGCTGGAACCGTACTTCAAGCTTGGGTGTAAACAGAGTATAGTGAACTACGTCCGACAGTTCCTCCGAGTTCCCATTTATTGCCAAGCAGCCATAACAACTTTTCCATCTGAACGTTTTATTTGTTTCCGCAATTAATATGCATGGCAGCCACATCCGTTCCTGCCTCATCTGAAATACTGAAAGCAGGATACCCACGCCGAGTACGAGTAAAAAATAATAACGCAATCTCATATATCAAGGAACCGACAACAATTAGGCTCCATGGTAACAACTTGGAAGGTATTTCGTGTACTGCCTCCTCCGAGCATAACTTTAAGATGTTTCAGAAATACCAAATGATTGCTTAATAATTTAATTGAAAATAAAAAAAAATATAATAAATCAGCACGTACAATTAAACCCCGCTCTGACGACTTAGGAGACGATAGAAGAAGTTACAATCACGAAAACTTTCTCCTTAATAAATAAACTTCATATACCTCCACTATTACATGGGAGCTTTTGATAATATTACTTTTCATTAGAAGTAAATCACTCTTATGTTCGCGATGTAGCACAGCAGCAAAAAAAGGGAGGAAATATACACCATACTCCGGAAGTTTGAGATAGCTTTTCAAGGTCGGTAGCTAGTGCGGTGAAAATTAACAAAGACCCTTTATTGGGTACTCATAAGTTAAAAAAAAAGATATAGCCTTTTTCAGTAACTGGAGGTATCTACGGAGACTTCACGAACAACACAAAAGAGCTTCGCCGAGTGCTTCTTTGATTTGTATATGAATCTGCTACATGGCTGGAACATTAATATTAACGAAACTGTTCTAAAGTTATCAAGGGTGTAATATATGTTCATTAGTTTATAGAGAGAATGTGTAAAATTCCGCCAAAAATATAGATTCTGTTATTCGATGCAGTGAAACCAGCTTGTGTTTGGAACAGATGAATGACTCTTGAAGCGCTGTCACATACGTACTTAGTTCCATTCCATCAAAGTTTTCTGAAACGCGTCCTCGACGGAAGGCGTAATCGCAGAAACCCAAAGCGATCTGGCGAGCCCCGACAGGATAAATCCCAGAGCGCCCGTAATCGCAGAAACGATTTCTCCACCGTCTTTCACTCTAAAGTTCAAACGTTCCAGTAGCACTGGAATGACATTTTGGATTCGATATTCTGTGCCGCTGTTAGTCTTTCTTGTCACGAGCTCTCCTTCGAACCTGACAAGACCAGCCTCAAAAAGTATGGTGCCGCTATGCCACGAACAGAGCCTCCAGGGGATGTGGGTGAGCAGTGAGTGCTTGCAACGAACGCTGAACACAGTGACCGTGTCCTTGTCGCGGCAAAACGTCTCGTAGGGTTTGTCTTGCTTGAGGAAGCGGAGGCCGGTGAGAATCCCTTCTCCCAAGAAGATGGCGCCTTGAAGCATTTCTAATTTAGTGTCGTTTACCAGGTGATGATATGGGAGGTTGCGGATAAGCTTGTCGAGCTTGTCGTCCAGTTCAGCCTTGTCCGGGACGTCGCAATCCTCTGTGGGATAAAAGAAAAAAAAAAAGAAGCAGTCGTGCAATACGAAGCCCCATTTAAAGGGATACTTCAACAATATTTGAAATATTACCGTCATGTTCAAAAATAGGTTGAATATGACCCACAATATCCGTAAATGACTATCGCACGTTTGTATTTTGAGCCTGGTGGCTGTATTTTTCGTTGTTAACGGCCCACTCTGGCAAGCGCTCGGAGAAGGCCCAGCGGGGACCACGTGACATCCAACGCAATCGTGACGTAGGTCGTCTCAAGACGAGCAAAGTTACGGCTAGGCTGACGTCGAGAGGATGGCCTAGTCGTTCCAGCCACCGAAGCGGCTGCTTTTGTACGAATTTTGAGTGACGGGTTAATCTTTTATAACCTAGTTGGGGGACAATAGCTACTTCTGGAACACACAAAAGGTATTCTCGGGAAGAGGGGAGTTCCTCCTGCCCCTCTTCTCTCGTCGTGGCCGGAGGCGAGACAACCTCCGTCACTAGCTGTCAAGGTTCCTGGACGAGCATTACAAGCGAGGCGTTAGCGACATCCACCAGGTGCTCTTTGCTAATCGTTTAATTCGTTTTAAAGTTCCTTTTCGTGACTTTTTTAGCAAGATATTGGTATGTTCGATGTGATACTGCTCCTTTGAACACATATAGACCAAAAAGCAGTATCCCTTTAAGATACTGCTTAGATAACTTTCTCTCAAAGATTCGTACATATGTTTCCAGTCTCCAACTTTTGCCTTTTATGTTTATTGGTCACGTTATCTTTGGCACTATGCAGTGGCAGTATGCAGTGGGGGGCACACGAACGTGTTGGCTACAAATTTGTACTTCCGATAATATTGGAAGATGGAAGCAATTTATGTTTTGTTTAATGGTGAGTAAAGCATTGCGTCATATTTCTGTAATAAACAACTTGCTAGATTACCCAAGCGCCCCGGCCTGCACTTCAGGAATCATAAAACGGTGGTCTATCAGTTTCCCAGTGATCAGTATTTCAAACAATCAGATGCTTACACACTTTGCAGTGTAATCTGCAGTTATTCTGAATAAGCGTCGTGTAGGTTGCAGAGACCTGTCATATAACTTTTACTATTTCTCGTCAAAGTTCGCGTTTTTCACAATGTGCATGCAATCCACCCTTCGGTCTGGCCGACGTACAAGCATTTCCTACGCTATTGTTATTATTCTAATGATTGTTGTTTTATAAGCAATTGCTTAAAAATCCCAATATTCAGAACAACAGATAACCATAATTTAGCTCGGAGTCAGCGGAGTTGTTTGCACCATTTTTAACGTTTCTGGGTTACTATCAGCGTCTTTGAAGCTGTACGAGAATAATAAGTTTTAAGAGATATCATCAGCTCAGTCAGGTTGAAGGGTGGATGACATACACAGTGTCAAGAACCCTGACGCTGACGTGAAATCTTGCAAGTGATATGGCAGTACGCTGTAATCTACACGATGCTCACTTATTCAGGATGCCTCCCAATTACACTGACACCCCAAAAAAAGCAAATAATTTTTGCCAGGAGATTTGATATGTTTTTAGAAGGCTACCCAACCAACATTTTGCTACAAGTCGCGTGTATTTTTAATAAAGTTAAAAAACGCCACTGCTGTAAACCGAAACCGAAACATGTGCAAGGAGGCTCGAAGTAAACTCGGAGGAGAGAGTTGCGCGAAGTCATGTGGCTAATACAGCCTAATCATTTTTTTTTTGTTCGTTTGTTTGTCGTAAGATTGTTTCGCACTATATCTATTCCCCTCGCTGTTCTGTGATTGAAGATCAACTGGGCCGGTACCACGAACCACAGTTACTAAACAACGCTCCCACGTCCGTCGGCACCTTGTTCTGTCGTGTGCCGCCATCGCATCATGGAGCCGGCGATACGTCGTCATATTAACAAAGACGCTTACGGCTACTTCCGGTGATCTGTGCAACATTTTTTTTATCAATGTATTTGCAGTTTCTTGGAAGTCACAAAAAATAGGGCTCATATTCTTTTCTATTTTTACTATTGAATGTGTTCCTTAGATAACCCGCGACTTTGAGTATATTTGGTATGCATCAGTTAGAACAGCACGTGACCGTGGAAAGGAGAGTCAGCGCGCCTGAAACCGGCCAAGTCTCGACCTGCGGTTTTCCGGCGGAAAGGAAACGAATCTAGAGCCTCAAATTTCGTTTTGGGTAGTTGGGCTCACGTAAGTCATGTTCAAAAAAACATCGGCATAGCAAAATACCCTGTCGGTGTATCTTAAATACTCAGTCAGCTTCCAAATGGTTGTAATTACCGATTGCTTGGGAACTGTAGGAACACCGTTACCATGATTCCCAGAGTGCAGGACGGGGTGTTAAATTGGGGGATTTATGGCGTATTCACACTGGAAGCGGATCCGCGTTCGCGAAGCGGTCGCGGATGCGGTTCGCGAGCGACCCCGTTCAGACACACCGAGAGGCGGTTGGCGGTTTTTCGGCGATCACGCGTGATCTTTTGAGAGTTGCGTTTGGCAACCCTGTTTTGCAATCCAAAATCCACTTTAATTCAAGATCCAAAGCCAAAGTCTTGCTATTTTGGCACTCGGAATATTTTCTCCGGGATGTTCGCACGCATCACAAGTTCAGGCAGCGAAAAAAGAAGCCTGGATCCGCCAAACTCTCCTGTGATTCCCTCGACTTCGCCCACATGCAAAGCCCACCTAGGCGGGCCTTGCTGACTCAGAAAAGGATGCTCCCGGCCTTTTCTTCGAAGTGAACCCTTCCCGCATGAATAGCTGACCTTGTTTTCGGGATAGAGGGCCAGTTTCCCCACCTCGTTGTTGTTCGCTCTTATCATTTTCGAAGTTGTGAGCGGTGGGGTGGACCGTGGTGCGGGGGAATGTGTTTGGTGCTAGCCGGTCGTGGCTTCGTTGGTGGCGGACTCTCCTTTCGTCACTCGCTCGTCGATCGAGTCTACTGTTTGTTTGACATTAAGCTCAAATAAACGCCGTATGGATTACCTCTGCATTGTCTGGTACGTACACTTTATTCCTTGAGTAGGTTCCCTTTATTTATTTTATTAGCAGTAGACGTTACAGGTCGAGCTAGCGCAGGTACCCTGCCCCCTCCGCGGTAGTGCGTTGGCTACGCAATCAAGCTCACGACGTCTCTATCGGCCGTCGTGGTGGTCATGCACGGTGTCGAAAGCTTTCAATAGTTCACACGACTATCCTAGTGGGTAGAAAAGCTGACATTTCGGTTGATCAGGGGCGGGTTCCGACGTTCTACAGGCAGAGATTAACAAGGCAGCGAGCTTGGGCTGTGGAGCCCGGAATAATAAACTAACTCTTACCCGAACCAAATCACCGTTGCGAAGCCCGTTAAATCCTTTCAAATTATCATCGTACATCCAGTGTGACCGCAATGAAGTCTAGCCTATCATTACCTCTTCTTTCACAACGTATAAAAATGTTCCGTCTGTGCTTGTTTCATAATATATATTATAATAATCCGATTCTAAAAGAAAGACTACCAACAACACCTCATTACGTTTCAGCACGCATCGATCACCGTCATAAAGTTGCCATTCCTTCTTGTCGTACTAAACATTTTTACGAGTCTTTTATTCCTGGTGCCTCAACAATGTGGAATCACCTTCCCGGAGCCATTGCCGAAATCCCGGATATCGAGTGTTTTAAAACTGCCGTTTCCAATATTTTTTTGTGAAGAGCCATAGCTACTATATAATATTTTCTGTTGTACGCTGTATGTTGTGTTGTACTTTTTAATACCCACTCCCCTCTGTAACGCCTCTGGCCCCGAGGGTAAATAAATAAATAAATAAATAAATAAATAAAAATTATGAGTCAATTCTTTTCGCGGTGGATTTAAGTGACGGACGTGAACATCAAGTTTCTCCGAAGATTTGTCGAAAGCTAAGACTACAGCGCTAGGACTACAGCGCCTTCGACGCCTCACCAGCGACAGGAGCCATCTTGTTTTGAAAGTCACTGACGTCACGTCAGCGTCGCGTTGTGATTGGTTGCCGCTTTGCGGTTCGTGAAAGCGGTTGGGAGAAATCGGTCCCGAAGCGGTTGGCAAAAACGCGCTCCAACCGCTCGATCCTAGCGCTCGGATCCGCTTCGCGAACGCGGATCCGCTTCCAGTGTGAACGCGCCTTTAGGGAATGGTCTCTTGGGGAAAAGGGGGGGGGGGGGGGGGGGGGGGGGGGATGGGCGAGTACGGTGTGGGAGTGCCACAGCACGGACCGTTCTTCAGGTGTTAAGCTATTTTGAGCCTCGTTATCCGCCGGGCTTTCTCCGTAGAATGCAGTGATTAGTTCTTCAAGGTGCTATGAGGGAAAGCAGATGAGCCAAGTGGTTAAGCGAGTATTGCAGCACCAATGCTTGCGCATCGGCATTCTAAAGTTCGACCATAAAGCCTTTCCTCCCAATGTCGTTTTCTTACCACATTTTAAAACAGGTACCCGCATATCCATATTAAAAGATATGATCTCTTGTCTGCATACCATCGCACGTTTCCTGTCCATAAATTATTTCTTGTTAAACTGAACAGCTATCATCGTTTCAGCCGCTGTATCATCTAGGTGTGCAGCGACAGCATATAACTATTCATTTGATTACCAGTGTACACTCATCTAAGATATTATGTTATCAGTATTATTTTTTTCGTACATAAAATTTTAATGGGTCTACAGGTGATACTTAATATTCAAAATCTCATTACGTCATGATAAAAACTGAAGTCATATATTGGTTTTTATATTACACCTGCCCAGAGAAACCTTCTTTTGCGTTTTATATTTTTTATATGCGGCTAAATGATAACAAGTAGTTAACGCCATGTCAGAGCTATGCGTATTTAAAAGTCACCGAGAGAAGAAAATGCGTACATATACATATACCTGATTTTGAGCTGTACCTGATTTTGGAAAGTCCAAAGTTAAAACCAGGTTGAAACAAAGCAGAGTCAGGAAAGTCACAAGGAATGCCATTGTCGTTCACAGGATTCCTGTAACGAAAATACGATAGTTAATTACATATTTAACACTAAATGTTCACAATTTTGTTTTGAAGTTCCACAACAAACTTTAGCAACGAAATTAAGCAGTAGTTTAATAAACCTCCAAAAATTTGAGTTTTTTTTTTTTTTTTTTTTACGTTGTCCTTGGACTTTGACATTGCGAAATACCAATCAAAGTTTCCATATGGGCGATTTGCTTTATAGTAACAAAAAGAGTCAGGAATCGCGCGTACAAGAAAGACAGCTAGTAACATGCTCAACATGACAAGCTGCGGCTCTCAGCCCAACATTTAGACATAAACAAATGTCTAGCTGAGGCCCACCGATTGTCTTATTTTGTTTATTTTTGTCTGCATTAGGTTTTTTTATGTGAAATGATGATTGGTTTCATCGCTCCATTCGAACATTCGCATGTGCGTCAAATATATGCCGATTTTATTTAGTGCTGGGAAATTGACCGATTACCCTTTAGATTAATCGATTAATGGTTCAACTGAGGTCGACTTTTTGCACCCCGGTTAATCGTTTGAATTCTAACGAGCGAAAAAGAAACTACTAAGTTAAATATTTTTTATTATCTTTTTTTTAGTGCCGCGATTTGCGAAACGCAATCGCCAGCGAGTGAGCTCTTTTGCCACAATATATCAATGATATTCTCTGCCTACACAGCTACAGTAATTATATTTAAGTGCTTTTAGATCGTAGATGAGCGCATATAAATGTTCATCACTAATTGAAAATACACGTTAAAGTGTTTATCACAGAAATAAAACTCAGCGAAGACAAGAACAGAAAATTTCACATTTTTCAATCTTATCAATGAGAATCAACGAACGCTGTAAATAAATTATATACTATTCGATTTAGGGATAACAACTATTGCGGTTACAACGTTAAAGCGATGCCCAGCCCTAGTATAGTTCAATTATCAAGGCAGAATCATGTATAGCCTGTTGACAGATCAACCATTGTAGAAACTGTGCGCCATACACGGGTCGAAATACTCCTTGAGCATCCGGACCTTCAAGTAGTTCTGATCTGATGTGACCTGTGTCAAATGGAATAGCTGTAGAGTTCCTACGCCTTATAAAAGAGTTTCATGAGTCGTAAATATTGCCACTCGCCACTACAAAGTCCATGACCGCCCGTAAAGATATTTCCTGGTACATGTTAATTATTTTTTTCTAAACACGCTTCACTCCTAGCATGAACTTGTCTGGTCGTCCTTTCCTGCGTGTCGGCATGGAACCTTTCCGGCTTTGGGCAGACACGATTACTAAACTTATGCCCTTCTGAGCGTTGCACGATCTGGTAGTAACATACATGGCGTGCAGCTTAGTCGTTCTGTGCTCCTCCATGGATGTTCAAGAGGCAGCCAGCTTGTCTGCGCGTACATTGGCACATTAGAATGAAACTTCGCCCGGTTGTAGCACAACCCCGTTGTACAGTCTTGCAGATACTACCGACATAGAGTGCCAAGAAATGCCCGGAAAGCCGAACGCGTGGGTTGGTCTTCCTTCAAGACAATGGCACCACACCACACTGCCCGGTCTTCCTTGCAACACACCAATGAATAAGACGTCGAACTGCTACCGCAAATGCGATAGTCGCTAGATTTGGCACTGTTTAATTTTCGTTCGTTCTCTGGTCACAAACAACATTTAAAACAGCAGTATTTCTACACCTAGGAGACCGTCATAGATGCTTGTGTGAGTAGTGTGAGTCAAGACAAATCGTGGTTTTTTCACTGGTCGGCGGCATTGGAGCACCTCTGGGAGTAGTGCACTACGCTCAAGGCGGCTACGTACAAAAGTCCAAAGGTATTGATCGCCCGGAGCAACTACCTCACAAAAACCTCACTACTTCTCAAGCATCCCTCGTAATTTGGCCAACGTACCTCATTTCACAATGCCCAATGAACTCGAAGATCTAGTAAGACAATCTTTTCGACTGTCTGATTTCGGCCTTCTTAAACTTGAAAAACAATTATACAAAAAGGTATATTTGGGAACTCTCGACACCTAGAAAATTACAATCGGCGGAAGTGTTCGGTTAAGTTAATAATTTCTATATTAAAACAGCTCCTATTAGTGTCGCACCCCCAAAATCAAATGCCCTTGCAAAGGTTTAGAATTGAAAGTTATCCAACTATTAAATTCATTCTGTTTTTTATAATATTCTGTGAAAATATGACGGCCAGCGGACTACCAGAGCATTAAAACAAATAACGTTAACCCAAAAAAAAAAAAGAAAGGAAAAACGATACTTTTGTTGCAGATATTCATAAATCAGATTTATTTTTCAACGACACACCACTAAATTTTGTATTTCTTTTCGGGCGCAACTGCCAGTGCTACACTGCGGTAGTATTCAAGCGTTGACGACGAAGAGTAGATATTGGCTACGGAGAAGAAACCGGTTCTATTATCGCGGGCAGCTGCCCTATAATTCAGCAAACTCCGTGAGATCTAAAATGAATCCGAGGCCCTTTGATACCTCCTTAATGTCATAGAAAAACCTTTTCCACGTATTTTTGACAATACATCAAAAACAAATTTCTAAAAATGTAGCACAGCTAACATCTACGACAATCCCGGCTGATACCGCTAAATTTGGCACTCGTTGGATCAAGTCGTGGTGAATTATCACAAGATGTGATGATGTCTCGAAATGATGCGTAAAGGTTTAAGCACGGTATAGTTACATAACGAGTAGTAAGCATTTCTGTTTCAAAGTTACTGATCTGCCACTATAGTTACCGAGAGCTCGTGAAACGCGGGACGTGTGTTTCTTATCTTCATGCTTCGTTGCTCTGTTATTTCTCCTTCAGCAATTTTATCTGCTAAATAGCGCAATATGATTGATTGTGGAGCGATCATAAGATAGTTTGTGTTCACTACCCTCTGTGTTTCTTAAGTTTTCATTGGCTAAACTAGGCTTGAAGCTATTTCATGCCCGTCGGTCATGATTGCTGAAGTTTTCAGATGTCATTCTGGATCGATGCTATCAGCTGAAGTTCTTTTGGCTATTTTATGTGCACGCGAGTAATACGCGAGTGTCGCTCTGTGAGCATTGCTTCAAGCGTCTCATTCACGCAGAACCGCAACTCGCATTGAAAGGAGAAATAATAATAATAATAATAATAATAATAATAAAATAATAATAATAATAATAATAATAATAATAATAATAATAATAGCTTTAATTTCTATGTATAAGCATGGTGGGGGCTGGATGGCTGAGGAAAAAAGCTGTCCAAGAAGCTTGATTGGTCCTCAGCCCCTCTCAGGAACATAAGAGTGGCGAGAAAGATATGTAAAAATAATACAAGAAATAATATAATAATACAAGCTACTTCCATCATAAAATGCAACAGCAGAAAGCTATCAAAAATACAATAAACGAGAGTAGCACTTGACTATAAAAGAAATCGGAAAGTTGTAAACAAGAAGGTATGGAAAACTCACCAAAATATTTTAACATACTTCGACACCAAATAATATCTATATATATATTTGTATTCTTTCTACACTGCGCAAAGTTTACTCTATCTGCTACTGTACAGGTCGAAATCAACTTGGCGATGGTTGTTGAATAGGGATGGTAATAGATAACGGAGACATCCCAAGAAGCACGTAGTGAAATGGCCATTGCTGGCACGTGCACTATGGCCAACGAGATTTTCGATGACCCAAGCTTGGACAAAGCGCATGACAATAGCAGTGTTTTGGTCCTTGTCCACTAGCCATTTACTTTAAGCCAGTCGCTGGCCATTCACTTTAGGCCAGTCACTGGCCATTTACTTTTGGACAGTTCATGGTCATTCACGTTTGACGAGCCACTGGCCAGTAAACTTTGGCCAGCCACTCTTGGCCAGACAGTGGTCATTAACTTTTGACCACCATCTGGCCATTCACTTTTGGATAGTCAATGGTCTTTCCATTTTGTCCTTCCTTTGGCCATTAAAACTTGGCTAGCCACCTGCCAGCCACTTTTGACCAGCCCCTGGCCATTCACGTTTCGTCAGCCACTGGCCACTGACTTTCGGCCAGTGGCTGGCCGAAAGTGGCTGTAGTTATACACTTAAAACACAATTTATCACAGACTGCCAGGAAATATAGGTGTTCCCAGCCTTGGGTAGTAACGCGTTACTAGTAACGCGTTACTGTAATTTCGTTACTTGTTCGGTATCTTGTAACTGTAACGAGTTACTTTTTTAAAATGTAACTTGTAACTGTAGTTCTATTACTTTTTTCTGGGGTAACGATGAAAGTAACGACGTTACTTTTGTCGTTACTTTCCAGTGTTTTATGAATAATATATCACTGAATGAGGGCACAATTTAGATCTTCCTTGCACTTTTCAAATCGTCTATTCCGGCATTTCAAGTGTCAAGTTGGCCTTGCACAAACTTGTGAATACGTTCTTTTCTAGCGAGTGACGACCTGAATATAGCCACGTGTAGATTTCGTGAAAAAAAATCTAGTTATCTTTACTCACGCGCTTTTACTTTGTGACTGAACACTTACATCTTAGTGTCTTGAAGCACTATCTATGTTGTGTTTTTTCTTTTTTCTGTGAAAACGCTTTTTAATCGGGTGAATCAACCGTGAAACAACAATACACGCGGAGGGCACTGCGCATGCTTCGCATTTTGATTATCGCCAGTACTCCACACTGCGCGTGTTTCGTACTTTTATTTGTGCCACTACTCTGGCGTGGAAATTTTCAAACACTTAAGGCCGGTTCTCACATGCAGCGAAGCGCTGATGCAGCGCTCCTCACGTGCCATCAGCTACTTATCGTATGCCATGAGCAACAGTTTTGACGGTGCGATACAAAGCTGGTGAACGCTGCCGTCAGCACGCGCTTAGCGCGAGGTTAGCGCTATGCTTGTAGCGCTCCGCTGCATGTGTGAACGGGCCCTAACTTTGAGAAGCAACTTCTGCTAAGTTACAATATGAAGTACAG